CTCGCACACTCGCGAGGTTACAAGAAAGGTACTATTGGCCACGTCTTACCACCGACGTCACTCGTTATATGAGGACATGTCGGGACTGTCATCGACGCAAGACACCACCGACAAGGCCGGCGGGACTTCTGCAGCCAAATGAACCACCTCGCCGACTTTTGCAGCAGATTGGTATGGACCTACTGGGGCCGTTCCCGACGTCGGCTTTCGGAAACAAATGGATCGTCGTAACTACCGACTACCTCACCTGCTACGCCGAGACAAAAGCCCTGCCAAAAGGCAGTGCATCCCAGGTAGCTAAGTTCTTTGTCGAAAATATCGTCCTACGTCACGGCGCGCCAGGGGTCCTTATCACCGACAGAGGAACGGCGTTTCATGCTGACCTAACTCAAGCGATCTTGGCATACAGCCAGACAAACCACCGCCGGACGACAGCGTACCACTCACAGACCAACAGCCTCACCGAGTGGCTAAACAAGACAATCGCCGACATGCTGGCAATGTACGTCGATGTCGAACACAAGACGTGGGACGCCATTCCTCCGTACGTGACCTTCGCATACAACACGGCGGTGCAGGAGACGACGCAGATATCTCCATACAAATTCGTCTACGGAAGGAGCCCGGCAACGACGCTCGATGCCATGTTACCCAACGTCACCGACGAAGAAAACCTCTATGTGAGTGAGTACCTTCAACGCACCCAAGAAGCCCGACAACTCACGCGTCTCTGTATCAAGAATCAACAGACGACCAACAGCCGCCGTTACAATCTTCGACGACGCTTCGTGAAACACCAGCCCGGTGAGCGTGTTTGTGCGTGGACGCCGATACGCCGACGTGGACTAAGTGAAAACCTTCTGCGACGGTACTTCAGACAGTACAGGGTGGTTTGACGTCTCGGCCCCCTTGATTACGAGGTTTTCCCCGATGGCATCACGAACTCTGAACGACGCTGATCGCGACCTGAAGTCGTCCATGTCGCGCGCCTCAAGCCGTTTCATGCGCGTTGACAAACTGAAACAGTGTTTTTTGTATTATAATTGTATCGTAATTTATTCATTGTACTTTCTTCCATTATTGTTGTACCTTCATCTTTAGTTAAATATCAGGACGATGCCTTTTTCAGAGGGGGGCAATGCCACGTCCCATTTCCCAAGTTTTGTTATCGTCCCAAAACATTACACAATTCTCAGTGCAAACCGCGCCTGCAGTTTTCGAGAAGCTTCCGGATTGTAGTAGATCACTTCGATAAGATCATGCCTACTCTGCGAACTGTACAGGTTATTCTGGAACCTACGCCACCGCCAGCGATAACGCTAGAACATTCGACGGCAAGAGTATAAACGCCGACGCGCTTCGCCGCTTGTCAGTAGTTGATCGACGGCCGACGCTCCATTCACTGCTATCTGTGCAAGACTGCTACTGTAATCGAACTTTCCGTTTACCGGGCACAGGTTCGCCCAACTAAACAGTTAAACCCCAACATAAAGTCTCCTGTCTTTGGCCACATCACGACCCTATGACAGTATATATCACTACTTAATTTACTGTTATATTTCGTCCTGTCCCACTGCTGTGCGCAAGACCAGAGTCCTAGTCAAGCCGCTAAACCGCACCTTTTTTCGCATTCACAGTGCACTGTACTAGGCATAGCGAAAAGAAAACTTGCATTATCTCAGTGATATTGCTTGTTACAAGGGTATAATGCCATCGGGCGTCAGAACATGCGATTATCATAGTGACTTCACGGTTTAATGCCGGCCGTCGAGTAGAAAAGGCACACGCGCTACCGCATGTATTCCCTAAAGACAACGTAATTGGTGCATAGCAAGTTCAAAACAATTTCAAGCGCATGATTGCTCATGGTTTAAAGCATGCTACCCATCACACAGAAGGCAGTCACCCACGAAAGCTTCACTGACCCAAGTCATTTTCAATGTTATCAATTTCATTGTAATAATCCTCATTTTAAACTTCTCGAGTGTCATCATAGAATAATAAAAATATGCACCAAGTCGTAGTACGCACTAGGTACAGGATGTCGCTGTCGCATTCAACTTCTAAAGGCGGGGCTTAACAGTCCTGCAATTTTTTATCAGCTACAGTGAGTATAGGTTTTCATGGACACGGCGCTTGCCAGCCACCGCCTATTGACTGAAAAGACATTGTTCCCAATGATTCACCTTCGCGAAGCCTATCAATCATTCATGCACCTTTCACTGCTTTATGTTTTAGGCAGTTATTCATGCGTCAAAGGAAAATATATTGCATTTGCCACCTTCATTGCGTAATCTCATAAGAATGTCAGCTTGTGAAGTACTCAAAAGATATATTCATTCTCCTGTTACTTTACATGCCGCCAGACTTTCTCTAGAGCAGTATGTTCAGATGAAAAATTCAAGAACTCGGCGGTACACAAATAACGCAACCGACATGAAATAAAGCCAAGGAAACATAGCGAAGTACAAGTTTGGGGGTTCTTAACAATATAGTGCTAAGATTTTCACTTAAACTGAAAAAGCACTCTGTCTCTTCAAGTCATAGGAAACCTCTGATCATGGCATGAAGGCAAACATGGTAGATCCCTCCACCAAAGAAGTTAGTAAGACACTGAAGTATAATGTGTCGTTACAGAAGTAGTGTAACGTGCATTAATATCAGAGAGCTTGTACGATGTCGATAGGCATTTGACAACTACAGTATGACTAAACGTGAATGCATCCACATTGACGCTTACTCATACATTTATATCCCCAAAACTAACGTCCGTCATACGGTGAGAGCACAACCACAGAAAGCGATGCGACAACCAGAAAAAATGCGACTGATTGAACGCCGAACTTGGTCTAAGGTCACCTACTCACGACATGTTGGAGCTATTGAACACCATTGCCCCACCAGAAGGAAACGCAACGCTCGTCGTGCTTTACCTTTGGCGGGCCACGAATATGCGCAGAGTGAGCGTAACCGGGTAACGCGAAGCTACATCCAGATGAAACAGGTTTGTTCCAGCGGTTCCAGGTCTCTGTCTGGTATGGATAGATTCTATGAGCGACGCTGACCCTCATGGGCTCCTGTTAAGGTTGCTACCAAGGAGAGTGTACCTGTGCTATTCGAAACGCGCCAAACGAGAACGACGCTTAGAAACTACGTGTTCGAAGAACCGATCAGGGAAGGCACGATCATCATGTATTACTGTACTTTGCCAAATACGCTCTGAGAAGACAATATATAGTAAATAAAAAGGCTTATATTTTCAATCGTGCAAGGTTTATTTAAACCTGGCACGCTTATTTTAAAGATGTATATTTTAAAGCGACCATGACGCTGTGGATAGCGTGCCCAGCATCTTTTGTCGCAGAAAAGTTACGGATTGGTTGGTACTCGGCTGCTGACCCGCAGGGCGTGGGTTCGAATCCCGGCGGCGGCGGCTGCATTTCCGATGGAGGCGGAAATGTTGTAGGCCCGTGTGCTTAGATTTGGGTGCACGTTAAAGAACCCCAGGTGGTCTAAATTTCCGGAGCCCTCCACTACGGCGTCTCTCATAATCATATAGTGGTTTTGGGACGTTAAACCCCACATATCAATCAAGTTACGGATTGGACTCCTGACGAGGAAATTCTTTTTGGAGCTTCCTCTTTTTGTTGGGGGGGGGGGGGGAGATCTCTTGTCTCTCGTCGTTGTACCGGTGTGTACTCTAGTGCTCTTCATTTCAAGAGTGCTCACTAGATGGCACGCCTACGCTTAGCCGACGCTCACTCGGCTCTTGGCGCACGCCCCAGTTTGATGGGACTACGTCTATATAAAACGCTCGCTCGTTTGCTTCCTCTCTTCTTCGCCGGACATGACTCAGTGCGCTTTGATACTGCTACCCACCATGAACATCGAAGTAGCTAAGGGTGGAGCGGAGGCCCCGCAAGGCGGCTGCTGCAAGGGCTCCTCCTGGTCCGCATGTGTGTTTTGTTTTTATTTATTTTTTCAAGGAGGGGGGCAGGGGCAGCCTCTCTTTAGTTACGTAAGGGCTGGGGTGGTAAATTTGGTCATACATTGAACAAATAGGGGTAGGAGGAGGCACTGCAACGAACTTTAGCGATAATAGTACTAATATTATTAAAATTATTATTAAAAGTAATAATAATAAATTGTTAGAGTTTAACGTTCTAAACCATTCTCAGCCCCCGATAGGGCAAGTCTTTGTATGGTGCTCTATAGTGTATGTACGGAGAGCTCACGGTTTACCAGATTACGCTCCGGAGCAAGCTCCTTCATCAGCATTCACTTCGTGAATATGGCATCACTGTTGCTTTGTCTTCTGATCGTGCTTAGTTTTGACATCATGTTCGTGGCGGGATTGCGTCACTGAAGTCTTGTTAAACCCCACTATAAAACACTTTCGTGTGACAATATGGCTGAGGGCCATCCTTCTTTTCCCGTTTACTACAGATTTACTTTTCGACAAATTTCTTTCAGTATTGTTTGAAGTTACGAAGCGTGTCAGGCCAAAGTTTATGTTCGAAGCTTCTGCGGTATTCATGCAGCATAGATTGAGTTCAAAAAAGCACTGGACTAGAAACTAGACTGTAGGGTACTATACTAAGTGGCTACTGTACATACGCACCACCTCTTCTTGTCCCCATCATCACCCTTCATCCCTCTTTCTTTCACCTTTCCCTTATCCCCTGTGTAGAGTAGCAGGCTAGAGCGAACTAGCTCAGGCCGACCTCTCTGCCTTCTAATAAACTCTCACTCACTCACACACTCCTTTTTCCTTTGTTTGTTTGTTTGTTTGTTTGTTTGTTTGTTTGTGTCTCGCCCTATAGCGTTTTCAAGGAAATCATGGCCAGCGGAGTCAAGACGCTTGCTCGATGTGACAGCAAAAGAAATGTATAAAAATGTCAAACTACCTGCGCTGTTTTAAAACGCCACAAATTTTCTCGTTAGAATAACATCTAAAGTGAAACACCAAGCCTGCAATAAGCATCTTTCGGAGTACTTACCGGCAACAGGTTTGGTTGTTCTTCGGCACAGGGCAAGAGGAACTCCGAGAACATGCGTGAAGGTTTGGTGGCTGACGAAGTGACCGGAACATACGGCGATGCAGTGTCGATGGAGTCATCGAAAGTAAGCAAGCTCGATTCCAAAAAGCAGCTGAGGTCGCAGTCCTCCAGATCATCATCGTCATCATCGTGAACATGGCTTGAGCTAAATTTTGCTTCCTACAAAAACAAGAAAGAAATTGCGGATACTACTAACTCAAGTAATACAGTGGGCGATACACGCACGCGTGTTCGTGCATAAGCGTGTGTTGTTAAGCGAAGCTTTGGAAGTTACAGACATTGGCGGTGAAAGCAGCGGCATGATTCGCAAAAGCTCTCGCTCCAGCGAAAATACATAAATGCAGGCGTGCACAAACAGACCCTAGATGGTGCACAGCCACACGCGTGCTTGTGTGCGACGCTTTGCACCAACCGGTGTTCTCCTTATCGTGAATTTGTCAGTGAATAGCAATTTATCGTATTGAAAAGCGAATGCTTTAGGAAGTTCATTCATTATTTCACGTTGTCAAATTTCATTGCTGATTTTTATTGATTCACTGATGGCAATCGTTGTTGCGTATTGCAACAGAAATGTGGCGTTGCTTAGCACGTGAGTGCATGTTTAACTCTAGGATGGGAGGAAGGAAGAAGTTTGGAAAGAGCATTTAGCAGTGCGGTAGAAAAATGAAAAAAAAATACAATAACAGTGAGAGTGATACATCGAAATATTAGCAGGTCAGGCACAAAAACGCGAAGCTTCATTTGACCCCTGTGAATAAATGGAGTCGTAACTTTTAAGAGTTGTACAGAAATCGCAATCACGAAATAAAATCCCGCGTTTTGCTTACCATTTTCGGAACCTATTCAATTACAGTGTTTTAAGTTGGGTAAAAAGTGTTAAATGAAACGTCGCGTGAGACTTCGAGCTTCTGGTTACTGAAAATAAGCAATGTAGGTCAAAAGTTGCGATCTTACTTGACAGGCTAGTGAAGCTTCATGAGAAGCAATTCGGATGTTGTGGCTATGCGCACATTTTATAAGAAGCGGGTGGCGCCAACGACTGACGTAGCAAAGCGCGAAACGTAACCACCACTTAATGAAAAAAGTCCCCGACATTGCCTTTCAGTGGCTACCTGGACATTGTCGTATCAGTGCAAATAATTTCGCAGATAACGATGCCCGCACATCACATCAGGAAGGAAACAGAGTTTCAATTCAGATTTCAAGAACAGACGCTGCGAACCAAATTCGTCAACTGCCCTGCAGTCTCACGATGACGTAGCAGAACGTGCCAAACATACTAAATGCCTGACTACATAAATTTAATTATTCACTGCTGCTCTAACCTACACCCGACCTTCATCGACGCGAAGATTGGCTTCCGTTGGCAGTGGCTTCCATAAAATCTTATGCAATGGTAATCAAAGTATCTTACACTGTTGCATGTGATGTTTGAGGCACCGAAAAGAACAACGAACACCTGCTCAAGCATTGTGAATTTTAGCTTCGTAGAGCCATGTCCTCTAACCTGGGCTGTTTAAAAACCTCTTCACTAAGATAAGCAACACGGCCGCACTCAATCTGTTTTATTACTGACTTAGTTGTCTTCACATTGTTCTTTCACAGCACAATCACTTTCTCTTGGGCGAGTTGGTACTTGCTCAAGGGCATAGGATTGTTGCGCAAAACTGGAGCGCGAAGACTAAGGGGTTGAATGTTTAACCCCTCTTATCGGTGCTTTTAGAGTGTTTATTTTGCATCTCTTCTCGACGGAACCATGCCCTCGTTTACCTACAAGGCGGTACGTCATGAAAAACAGCGGAAAGGATGGTATAGGACGCCGATATTTTTTCTAACTGAAGCGATCATAAACAGCTTGGCATGAAACTGTCTAAGAAGCAATAAGAAGCTACAGAAGCATTTTTATTAACGATAATCGGATGCCCAGAACAAGGGAAAATTCAACAGTCCCTCTATTACTGAACAAACGCTTTTATTTGAACAAACTATTTTTATTTATCTGTTTGATTATTCATTCATTCAAGTATTTTTTTATTTATTTTTTATACTTTCTTCACAAACAAAGGTTTCCCAGACGGCCCAATCATTTCCGGTGTGAACACTGCAATTGAAAGCATTGCACGCTATGTACGATTTTCCGTCTATCAAAAGCGTGGAAGATTTCCGTTATTGGTAATTGATACCAATAGTTTTCTCGGATATATACAAAACTTCACCATTCCGTATAATACAGACATTGTAACTATCAACATAACTTCGTTTTACGCGAACATTTCGCATGCCTATCGTATTTCAGCAGTTCATTAAGCACACGAAGATTGTCGTTTCGAAAAGCCTCAAGATAAAAAAACTCAGATTACTGCTGGATAATATTCTTGAACTCAATGACTTCAATTTCTAAATACGTATTACGCTCAGGTAAGCGATACTTCAATGGGATGATGATGATATATGGTGTTTTTTGGCGCAAGGGCCATTTGATGGCCAAAGAGCGCCAGTTCATGAGACAGGAATGTGGAACATGGTTGTGATTAGCGGCTGTATAATGGCCATAAAATTCCTCGCAGTAAAGCGGGTAAAAACATACAATAAAATCATGACCATGCCGTGAAAGGTGTGCGTGGTGTGAATAGGTGACAAAAGTTGGTGATAATGAAAAACGATGGTGGATACGTATGGCATTAGCACAAGTGCCTCACTCATTCATACCCTTGCGTCCAAGGGCCGTGAGGCAAGTGCTTTCTTGCGTAGCCACCGTAGCGAAAACCTCTCAGGAGAGGACGAAATGCCCGGGTACATGATATGAAAATTATGAATTTCTTTTAAAAACGCTAGCAATGATTTATAACTAAAAAGCGGTTCCCTACCGACGAACATTGCAGGGTGTAAAGGTATATGTTGTCGGTAGGGTAATGGAAAGTGTTGTTTTCTTATAGTGTCCAATTGTTTGCACTGAATTAAAATGTGAAGAACTGTTAGTGCTTCACCACATCTGTGGTGAAGCACTAACATGTATGGCATGTATGGCATCAGCACAAGTACCTCACACGTTAGTACCCTTGCGTGCAAGGGCCGTGAGGCAAGTGCTTTCCTGTGTAGCCACCGCAGCAAAAACCTCTCTAGAGAGGTCGTGCTACGGTATGCCCGGGTATATGATATGAAAATTATGAGTTTTCTTTAAAAACGCTAATAATGATTTGTGACTAAAAAGCGGTTCCCTACCGACGAACATTGCAGGGTGTAAAGGTATATGTTGTCGGTAGGATAGTGGGAAGTGTTGTCTTCTTAGAGTGTCTAAATGTTTACATTGAATTAAAACGTGAAGAACTGTTAATGCCTCACCACATCTATCACACAATGGTGGATCACCACCGGACAAAAGATGTGTGTGTGTCGTGTATATGTGTCCTATCCTGAGTCTTGTTAGTGTTACCTCTGTTAGACGTGATTTTGATATTGGTGGCCAATGGCCAAGGTGTGGCTTGATAACGTGTAGTTTGTTTTGTGTGTGTGTATCCCACTTGCTCTGCCAGTAGTCGCTGAGTTTTCGTTTGAGAGACGGCTTAAGATCAAGGGCCGGTATTGATGTCGGTGTAATGGCGGTGCTTTCGTGGGCGGATGCAGCAAGCTGATCCGCCATCACGTTTCCTTGAATCTAACGGTGCCCTGGCACCCAGCGCACTACAACATGTTGTTTGAGTGTGTATAGTGTGCATTAAATGGAGTAAAGTGAGACAAGGACTGGGTTTTTGTGTTTTTTAGGAGTGTGCAGAGCCGTTACTACACTGAGGGAGTCTGTATAAATTACTGCTTTTTGTATTTGTAATTGCTTGATGTGTTTAGCCGCCACAAGTATCGCGTAGGCTTCCGCTGTGAAGATACTTGTGCCTGGATGTAGAGGGCCAGCATCCGAAAAGGATGGGCCGACAGCAGCGTAGGACACAGAGGAGTTAGACTTGGAGGCATCTGTAAAGAACTCAGGACGTGTGTATTTGTGTTGAAGTTCCAGGAAGTATGTTCGGATATGGGCAATAGGCGCATGTTTTGTAACTTCAAGAAAGGACACATCACAGTCTATAGTCTGCCATTGCCACGGTGGCAGATATGCTACAGGAGCCATCAAACTATGTTCAAGTGAGACTCCAGTTTCCTCAGCTAGACTTTTCAGGCGAACTGAGAAGGGCTGCCCCATCGAAGGCCTGTTTTGAAACAGAATGGAGCTCGACAAATCAATAATAGTGGAGTATGAGGGGTGCTTCTTATCTGCTTTCACCTTAAGGAAATAAACAAAGGACATGTAAGTTCTCTGCAGATGAAGCGACCACTCATTCGACTCAACATAAAGGCTTTCTACGGGGCTGGTGCGAAAAGCACCCGTAGAAAGCCGGATGCCCAAATGGTGCACAGGGTCCAGCATCTTCAAAGCACTTTGTGTTGTAGACTGATAAACAATGGCCCCATAATCTAAGCGGGTGCGAATGAGGCTTCGATACAGATTCATGAGACATTGCCTGTCACTACCCCACGTAGTACGTGACAACACTTTTAAAACATTCATGGTTTTTAAACATTTTGTTTTTAGATACTTGATGTGCGGTACGCAGGTCAACTTGTTGTCCAAGATTAATCCTAAGAATATATGCTCCACATTGACAGACAGACGTTGACCGTTCAGTTCAATGTCAGGTTCTGAGTGCATGCCTCTCTTTCGGGAGAACAAGACACACGTGCTTTTTCCTGGGTTCAGCCGGAATCCGTTTTCCTCTGCCCATTTGGAGACCTTGTTTAAACCTAACTGAACCTGTCGCTCACACATTGCTAGGTTGCATGACTTGAAGCCAAGCTGGACGTCATCGACATATGTGGAATAGAACATGTTGCGGGGGATGGACAGGTGCAAGGAATTCATTTTTATAATAAAAAGTGTACAACTAAGTACACCACCTTGCGGTACTCCCGTTTCTTGCACAAATATTTGGGAGAGAGTACTGCCCACACGGACGCGGAATTTCCGATTGGACAAGTAACTCTCGATTATGGAAAGCATTCTACCGCGCACACCCAGGTGAGACAAGTCTTTTAATATCCCAAAACGCCATGTTGTGTCGTAAGCCTTCTCGATATCGAGAAACACTGAAAGGAAGTATTGTTTGTGGACA